TTAATGTATTAAAACGGGGGCTGCATTAACTTATTTTATTATATTTCTGCCAAAACTGTTGTAAAAAAATTCATTTCACCCTTTTGTTTTTTAAACAAATGCAAAAGAAAATAAGAAACAAGCTGAAGAACCTGCTATAGGTATTTATAAATTCATAACATAGAAATACACCTGCATGTCACACCTTCTCCTTTAGCATCGAGCACAGTAAAATGCAAAAAATATAAAGTATTTGTTCAAATTAAAACAATGTTCTAGCTGCAGAAAGCTGCAGCTAGTATGGATTCTTTGAGTTGTGTCCATTCCCTGATCATCAGGCAAGCGCTCAGTGCTTGGAATCATTGGGGGGGGGGGGTTCAGCTAAAATTATCTGTGATGTCTTGCAGTGTGACAGGAGAGACGTTAGCTTGCTAACATCACAAAAATCTGAGGCCAGGCACATTCCTCTGTATAAATAACCAGAGGGAGCTGGTGCACAAGAGGGGCGGGACGGGGGACGCGTTCAAAGACAGAGAGAGAGAGGCTTCAGACTGCACCGCTGAGTGATGGGACAGCTGCTGCTTATTTGCAGTGGAGAATTAAAGCAAATGAAAAGTTTAAATGCAGCTTTAAAGGTTTAACTATTCCTGAGCAGTGGCACCATACTATTATTGTAACAACAGAGCAACTGCATCACAAAGCTGTTGTGAAAATGCACTCTAATTGCACTTCTCTATTGTAGAGTGTTTCTAAATATGGAAGGTCCCCTGCTACTAAAGCGTAAGTTAAATCTGAACACAAAGATTCAACTCTAAAAACAGCAGCAGCATATTTGCATCAATAAAGTCAAAACAATAGAAGAAAAATATGTTTATGGCTTTTTAGCAGAGGAAAACAAAGAGAAAACCAACCTTTTTTTATTCCTATTATATACAGCATTGTTGAAATATCTTGTGTCATCTCTCATTTCTCTTTTTTTCCCTCCATGCTGCCAGACGTTGTTGTAATCTGTTAAAGAGGTCTCAGTGAGAAGTTCTCCATGCTGTCTGAGGGTTTTTTAAACTTTGTTGCTGTTTTACTCATCTTTGTCTAAATTAATTTTATTTTATTGTTTCCTGATCCATGAATAAATCAGGCAATAAAGCCTCGCAAACACAGAATGAACAGAAGAAAAACAAAGGACTCATTCTGAATTGAATATTTAGTGTCTTTGCCACAGGATTAGGATTCTCCTATAGGCCTTCTTTATTTTACCTTAACTCCTGCTGCCACGGTTAGCTGCGAATTTGGGACAGGAACAACATAAAATGCTATCATGCGTGGAAAACTACACATGCTTATACATTAAATGTCAGAAATTTTTGTCTAGGTGCCCAAAAAGGTAAACCTGACTCTGCCAGATGGATTTGCTCCGCATATCCATCTGGAAACCTTCCGTTGAAGTAATTTTGGGAAGGGGCGAAAATACTGATTAGCTGATTGGCCTATATTGGTGATAGACGGGCCAAATAAACCAATCAGATCAACGAAGCATATGACGTACTAACAGAGCGACGATGAAAACACAACCACAAGCCAGGCTACTCTTGCTGAAACCAGTCGGGAGAAGAGCAAAAACATCTTCTCCTCTGAGAAAAGCCTCCAGAGCAGTGTTTTGCTCTTATTTCAGTGAAGAAATACTCTGTAATTCCGATAAAACTTGCTCGATAGCCACGCTAACGCTAGTTTCATCGGCTGAAGCCGCCATGTTCTTTAGACTGAACTGTCGCGCTTCTCGTTGCGTCACACTTCAACCCGCCTCAAAGCTAGGGGTGGGTATTGGCAAAGAAGTCACGATTCGATTCGAATCACGATTCACATGCCACGATGCGATTCTATCACGATGCATCACGATACTTGAAATATTGTGATGCATTGGGATATTTTCACTGAACACTGTAAGAAAAAGATACAGCCCTTACCAGTGGCTGACTGGCTGAGTGTGATCTGGATAGTGTCTTCAATTGATACATAACTGAAAGCAACTGAATTCATACATAGCTGTATTTATTGAAATTACTTTTGGAGGTGTTGCCATGAAAACAAATACTGGACAGAAATATTACTATTACTGGCAGGGACACACCAACAAAAAGATCTTAGGATTCATCAAACTTAAAAAAACAAAATGAGGATAATCAGTCCGGACATGCTTATGACACAAAGCAGCAGGCGTCAACACTTCCGCAGCGACATCTGCTGGACTGGAAGTTGTATTCCACTTGGTTTGATTGATGTGCGCCAACCATTAATGTATTTTATTTGTTCATTTTTTTTTTTTTTATAATCGATTCTTGCCTTCAAGAATCGATTCAGTAGATCACAAAAATTAGAATCACGATGTATCGATTTGACGATTATTTTGCACACCCTTACTCAAAGCCAACGCTGATTGGACGTTCGTTTGGTGAACGGCTCCAAATTTTCTTCAACGGAGAGTAGCCAGACTGATTAGCGAGTGAAACCTTGAAAGCTCGCGAGATCAGGATGGTCTCACGAGGCTACAAAAAGGTTGCTTTATAGCCCAAAACCAGGTTGAAATCCCTGATGTTCTGTAATGTTTTTTATGTTTTTGTTGTTTTTTTTACCCTCCCAGCATTTAATGAAATATGCCAAACTGAATTAAACAAAGATATAGGTAACTAATTAATGCACTGCCAGGAGAACGATGTCTGATGTTTGTCTTGATAAATGAAAAGTGTTCAGTTCTACAACTTTATAGGTCGAAGGATTTCTGGTTTGTTAGCATGGAAAATGTAATTTAGTCACAAAAGCAAGAAATTCATTTAAAACCCTTGCAGTAATAAGCTACGTTTGATGGACTGGTCTGTCTAAGTCAGCTTTTGTGTAAAAAGTCAGTGGATGTCTGTCGTCATTCTAACAATAAGAAAAAAAAAGAGAATTAAATTTGCAGTTTAGTGCATATTTCCAATTTAAAAAGAAGTAAATGTGTGAGAATAAAACTACCGGTAATACCTTAAACGAGACAAAAATTAAGTCAATACTGATTCACAGGTTAAAGTTATTCCATTTTCATACATTAACATTCATGGCATATGTCAATGTAAAGCCGCTTTGAGGACGTTTCAAACTTTGAAAGAGGATCAAAAATCATCTTCCATGATCCACTTCTGTTCTACTGTGGTGAAAATCATTCATATGATGCCAAGAAAAACAGGACATCATTCATACCTACGTTAGTCATTATAAAAAGAGTTAACTGCTTCAAATTGGACACCGAATCTCTATCAATAGAAAATGGGTGTAATGCAATCTAATATAAAGCAGAAAAATTATAGATATTATTATCGATATACTGTATTTTGATTTTAATTAAAGTAAAGTATGTATAAAGTTAAGTGATTCTGATTGTTATCTAACTTCAAGGTTCTACTAAATGCATAAAATGTTTTACATTTTCTGATAATCCAAACTACAAATGGAAGAGTTGCAAAGACATTTAGCAACTGTGCCTGAAACTTTGAGCAAGGAGAGGCTCAAAGGATACAGGTAGGGCTGAAACAATGAAATAAATTAATTGATTATCGAAGTAATTGTCAACTAAAATAGCGATTAATTAATTGTTAACTGGAGAATAGAGACTAAACATGCGTTTAGCTGTCAGAGCAACCAACAGCAACATGTCCTTTTATCAGAATTGTAAAAAAAAATATATAAACATTTTGCATTTAAGATTAAAAAATATATTTTTGCCTATCCATATGCTTTATCCAGAACCCTTCAAGTTTTAGTTTCACCTGGTTTAATTTCATAAACAATATTTTTAACCTATGGCTATCCAATTATTTATCTATTAATAAAAAAAAAAACAATCTAGAGATTCATCGACTGGCAAAATAATCGTTAGTTGCAGCCCTAGTTACAGGAAAATCTGCCTGCTTGGAAGCAAAATGTTAAGTTAAAGGAGAGTTAAAACCCTTTTACATCTATTTTCAGTTATAGTCCTCTGAACAAATCTCTGATTTTCTTCTGAGGAACAGCTTGGTTGATAAACCATGCCTATTATCGTTTCTTCTTTAAAAATAGTTTATGTTTTATCAATGAGAGTTTAGGACTCTGTGTACACTGTCCTCCTCCTCTGTTAGCTGTCTGATAGCTGGAACAGTCCACAGCTACCAGCAGTTCAAACATAAAGAAGCAAACTCAGGCTGAACTCTGCAGAACAATCATATAGAGCGCTGATATATGAAAAGGCTATTGGCTGGGGAAATAAATTTCTACAAAATGTCAATATTTTTAAAGTCTGCTACATCAATGCAATGAGGTGATGCATGGCAAATGAATATGATTTACTGAGCAGAATGCACATTGCTTTGGCCTCCAGAGCATCCTTGGGTCAGACGCTGAAGAATAGGGACTCGCTTTCGATGAATAAGTGGCCTAAGAATGATTTATTTCCAAGTAATATCCCATAAATCAAACCTCCCATGGCATGATAATGTCACATAAAGATTCACATTAAACTAAAAAAACATGCAAAACCTGTATTTTACTTCAGATTTTGAACAAAAAGATGAAATTTTATGTATAGTTTACAGTAAAATGGGAGAAATTAACCAGTAATCAACATATAATAAGCAATAATAAATCTGATAAATGGACTTGCTCTGATTTGGGTAAAGATTGTGCTAAAAGGATAAATTTCCTGTATATTAAGTCCAATTTGGTTGAATAAACCTAAAATTGTTGTGTCCATGGTGAGATATTAGTTTGGATCATCTTCTCTTGGCAAAAAGTGGTTTTAAAAACAGATAAATGATTTATTCCTTTGGGTTATTGTGACATGTTAGGTATTTTCAGTAATTGAAACACTTTAGAGCCCTGAATGTAAATAGGATCAAAGCTGTTATAGCTGTTTATCATTTAATAAACAGGTTTAATCCATCTTTTATAAGATGGAGATTAATAAAAGGGTATTTCTGTGTAAGCAAAGGGAATGAGAAAATAAATTAAGCCGTTACCTTCTCCCAGATCTAAGACGGCCAGCACTGCGCTCGTCCGAGCTTCTCCCAGGTGGTTATTGGCGATGCAGGTGTAGAGACCAGCATCACTGGGTTTGCAGTCTCTAATCCAAAGGCCTCCGTACTCCTGGTTCTCCATGTTAAGGAGCTCATCGTTGTGGTACCAGTACAGGGATGGTTGGGGGTGTCCAGCCACTGTCACCTTGAGTCGAATGTCGCAGCCTGTCCCCACGGCGGCATTCCTCATTTTTCGGATGAAAACAGGTGGAGATGGGTTGGGATGACCGGGGACTATCTGATCCGGGCTCGTTTTGGACCGTTTTGGTGGGATGATGGGACTTGGGGGTGCTGCTGCTTCATCTGCCCCCTTCTTAAGGGTCATTGGTACATCTGCTTTCCTCATGATTGAACTTAAAAGTGAGGGCACAAAGAATTATCAACCTGTATGTCCTAACTGTGGGAAAATGGCACTTCGTTGATCCGAACCAAACTCTTGGCAGGGCCCCGTAAGTCTTTCAACAGGTGTCACATTGTAAGTTGCAGAAATAATCAGATTATCCATCCATTTAACTATGTGCAGAAAATAAAACACTTGCTAACATCTGTGCAGTTATCACATCTATCTGTTTTTTGGTTAACTGAAAAAGGAATTGTTGATGAGCAGGTAATCAGACGGCACAGAACCAGCGACCACTCGCCTGAACGGAGGTATTTTTAGGATAAGACCCAGCGGATCATGTTGCGTTAACAGCAGCTCCTTTGGCTCCTCTTGGAAATGACAGCTTTGATTCTCCAGCTTGGTTTTATCCTAATCGTGTCTTACTCTTGATTTGACCTCTTCCCAGGAGAGTGTAACTTCTTCATAAAGGTGAACGAGTCTTCATTGGAGATTGCTTGAGATTCTTGCTTGGCTTCGTCCAAAGATCATCCCGGGACCAGGTTCAACCAGATAAGTTACACTCTAACCCCCCCCCTCCCCTTACGGTTCCTTGTTCCATAAGTTAGATCAGCCAACTCATGATTTCCCCCTACCTTTGCCAGTCAGCCTGGACGAGGAAATGATGGTCAGAGCCCTCCGAACCACACACAGCGACAGCTGCTTGGTCTGTCTGCCCACTCAAAGCAAGGCATCCGCCCCCTTAACATTTTTAGCCAACGTGAGGTCAGTAGAACATGGTGCAACACTTGGCGTGCTGGAAAGGGTGCAGAGTACGTGGTATTTAATTGAGGTAAATGTTGACCTCTTTGTTGTGTTACGTTTAAGTTTCATTGGGAACAATTAACACAATTCTAAATTTAAAAGGTTGTATTTTTGCATAACATAGACATACTTTGTAATTTTGTACACATAGAGTGTATAAAAAAAGAAGTTTCGTTCAGTATAGCTCTCAAGACAATTTTATTTTTTTAAGTGCAGCCGTGACAAAGGTAAGCAGCAGTGATAATGTAAACATACAACTGTATATTAGTTACAGTTCCAACATTCAGGGTTTTTGTGTAATTTGTTAAACACAATGATTGTGTGTAAAATCGAGGTGTAATTATTTTTACATGTAAATAGGATTGGAAGCTTTTAATAACATGAATCTATTTTTCTTTGCCTGCTTTTATAGTTTAAAGTTGGTCTTTTTTCTTTTAACGTTAAATTTTTTTCTATTATTGTTGCAAGAAAAGCTAAGAACACGTGTTGCAAATAGAAAATTAATAAAATGCAAACTAGAAGTAAAGCTTAAAAAAAACATAAAGAAAAAAGTTTTGAGAGTATTTTTTATTTTATCGCTTCAGAATTACAATTTTTTGAAAAAAAAAATTAAATTTTTTCTAATTTCTTGTTTTCACATTTTATTTTTCGAAATACATACTTTTCAAACTATATTTTACAGATCATGTTGTCTTCACTTGAAGCCTAATTCAAACACTAAATCTTAAATAATAGAAATGTTGTTGCTAAGATGCATACAGACCAAAAGAAATGCGTCTTCGCTCAGCACTCCAGAGGAAAGCAAACGAATAGAATGGAATCTGGAGAGCATAGTCCAAAAATAATTCAGTTTGAAAAATAAAATTTGAAAAAAAAGGAGTTAGAAAATGCTGAACTGGAAAAAAATATATATATAAAAAAGGAAGAAAATAAAATCATCAGAAAAATACATCTTAGAAAACAACGAAGGAACTCTTAAAACCTTTTCATTTAAGACATTTGTGATGTTTCTTTCCCAAATTAATTTTTTTCAAATTTAAATTTACATAAGTTCTTGCAACAATAATCAAACAAATTTCCCTCGATTTTGACAGTTAATTTTAAATTGTATACTTACTGGCCACTCTATAATGTATAGCTATCCATTTGTTTGCTTGAACAAATAATGAATCAGCAAATTATATGTTAGCAGGTCAGTAAACATAGCTCTATAGATTTGGTGAAAACATCTAGCTGAAGTTCATTTTGAAGCATCAAAATGTGGTAGAAAGTGTATTAAATGAGAACGATCTGAACATTAAAGAATGTCCAGCAGTTGTCTCAAAAATTCATCGCTGATGTCAGATTAAATGGCGTAACGACAAAACAAATAGGTAAGCAACATTATCTGGGTGTTTTGGGTCGGAATCAACCAGGAGGAATATTTGCAATAAAGCAGTCTCCTTTTATGTTGGATCGTAATTTCTTGTAATTGACATCAAAGTCTTTTTAAATGGACATTTTATATATAAAAATACAAAATTTCCCAAATGAAGTAATTTTTATAGTTAAATAAAAGTTTAGAAAAATGTATACAGATGGGAATCAAACTAGATTTTAACTTCAGTTTATCATCTGAAACATCTCAATACTAATCTCTGAATCCGTTGCTTCAGGAAATCCTCTCAATGTGAAATTTAATTTGCAGCTGTGGTTATAAATAACCAGTTTAAAATCTAAAAGTAAATCCTACAACAATGTTTTAATCATTTTATGCTTGGCAGTATATCCTTTAACAGGTAAAAACCGTGTTCTACAGGTCAAGAACAAAATTACAGATAAAGTATTTACAGTTAAAATTAAGCTTTTTTTTTCCTAATGCTCTATTTTCTACTTTAAGATTTTGGAAATTGCTTTTACCCATTTCTTTCTTTGGTCATTGGAATATGATCTGCATATTGATGAAGGCACACATGCAAGAAAAAGGTTTGAACATGCTGTCTGCTGAATTGTAAACAAAAATCCCTTTCAGTCTTATTGTTTGCATGTGCTTAAAGGCCCTGTATTTAGCACATTTTTAAATGGTGGTGATAAAACCAATTATTCTTTTAATTTATGATAAGTTTTTAGAAAAATTTTCATTTCTTAAAAACATTACTTCTTTTATATAAAGCTTCCGATTAGCTGTCAGGGTTTTTAAATATTAAAATGAGGTGTAATTCGACAATTGTGGCTTTTTAGGGCAAGCTGTGACTTCAAAAATAACAATGCAAGTCTCAGGACCCCCTTAAAGACAAGTTATTATGTCACTCCAAGTCAGTCTATTCATTACTTTCACTATATTTATTAGTTTTATACATTATTTCAAATTGATTTTTAATTATTGAAAGGAACATTTAATTATGATATACCCCACATACCCCCATATATTCACATCATAATGACTTAGAAAACCTGCATTCCGTGACGCCCCAGAAAGTCGCCCACTAAAGACTTTGGAAAGAATTTTGTACCATTATTGTTGCCAGCAAAAAAAAAACATCTTGTAAATAGAAATTTGAAGAAAAAAAATGTGATTCATTTGTGAAATTTCATACTAAAAAATAATTGTAAAGCAACTTCGCTGTTTTCTCAGATTTTCCCTTTTTTATTTATTTATTTTTTTTATTTTATTTTATATTTTTAAAAGTTTTTTTCAGATTGAGTTTTACAGTGTGCATTCTCTTCAAATCTGATAAAAATAAATGTTGCTAATGTCCATAAAGACCAATATTCATAAACCTATGATCTCTTAAATACTATTTGAAAAGAATGCATTTTATAAAACTCAATGTGATATTATCAAACCTTTTTTTTTTTTTTTTTTTTTTAAAACAAAGAAAAAATATTAGTTAAGAAAATATCAAAACCTTTTTTATTAAGAAGTTTTTCAAAGTTCATCTCTAGATCGTATTTTTTTTTTTCCGTCAAATTTCCTTTTACAAAACATGTTCTTTGCTTGCAACAATAATGGAACAAAATTCTCTCCGTAGACGTCAAAATGTGCCGTAATTTTCATCAAGCAATATTTAGAACTTCTGTTTTTTGGCTTCCTCCTTCAGGCCCACAGGCGGACCATTAAGAAAGATGTTTCCTCAGCTGATAAGTTATGTGACTCGTGGTTTTTTCTGTTAATCACATGAGGAGAAGGTGAGCTCTTGTTTATAACTTTAATGAGGACACGTGTGATACAACAAGCTGGCTTAAACTCAAGATCTCTCATAATAACAACATAAGAATGTTTTGAAGTCTATACAATCATTTCTGCTGAAGCCATATTACACCACTTTCTATCTCACCATCTACCATACATTCTACCTTATTCTGCATCTGATGGCTGGTTTTATTTATTATTTATTTTTTTTGCATTTTTTTGTTTTTGCATTTTCCTTATTGAGATACTGAAATGTTTTGAATTGATTGAAATATTTTAACAGATCCGTTTTTACTCTTTCTTCTAAATAAAATTAAAAAAAGGTACCATGAATGTCTTCAGCTTAAGCAAGTCTCTTCCCTGGTGCAAAAAAAAAAACATTCAAACCAACATAAATAAGTTGAAAGACAAGATTAATAAAAAAGAAAAATATATTTAAAAGTTCAAGGAGTATTTAAGACTAAAAGTAAAAAAATATACTTTTCTTTGAAAGTCCACCAAACAACTCAAGTTAAAGAAACGTTTCACATGACTGTGGATGTAATTTCTGATGAAACTGAGGACCTGCTGCTTCTGGAGACGGACATTTTCTTTAGGAGGCCCATCTTTATCATTTTTTGCTTCATTTTCTTCCTGAACTTCTCTCCCACAAATGCATAGAGTATGGGGTTCACGCAGCTGTGCAGCAGCCCCATGCTCTGCGTGGCAAACATGGCCTTATCCACCGCCGTCCTCTCCTGGCAACCGTAGTCCACTATCTTCAGCCTGAAAAAGGTGTCTGCCATCACGGCGATGTGGTACGGCGTCCAGCAAAGCAGGAAAGCGACGACCACGCACACAATCACTCTCATCGCTCGCTGTCGCTGGAAGCCCCCCCGGATGTGAAGGAGACGCTGGATGGTGACTCCGTAACAAGGCAGCATGATGGCCAGGGGGATGATGAACCCCAGAGCGTGGCGGAGAACCCTGGTGGCCAACCTCCACTCATCAGCACTTTTAGGGTCGTACTGCACAGCACATATCATGTAAGTGGAATTTTGAGACTTGGAAGAAGAGCTGAAGAAACCCGGCAGGGACAGCAACCCCCCGAACAGCCACACCGCGGCGCAGACAACCCAGCTGAATACCTGCCGGTTGGCCCTGCGGGCCTCCATGGCCCTCACTATCACCATGTACCGGTCCACGCTGATGAAGGTCAGGAACAGAATGCTGGAGTAGAAACTCAGCTCCTGCAGGATGGTGACAATTTTACACATGGCATCTCCAAAAATCCAGCCTTGGGTGACGGAGGTGGCCCAGAAGGGAAGGGTGATGGCCAACAGGAGGTCTGCTAATGCCAGGTGGAACAGGTAGAGGTCGGAGGGGCTCAGCGGCTGCTTAGTCTGGCCGATAACAAAACCCACCACCAGATTCCCAGGAATGGCCAACAGGAAGATGAAGATGTAAAACAAGCAGACAACCAGCAGCACAGCGTTTGGGAACATGAAGACATCGCAGGGTTGTGTGGATGGGTTTAAATTATACTCCGTGTAGTTATACGAGAAGTTCAGTTGGTCATAGATTTCGCTGAAGTCATCAGAGATGAAGGAAGAAATGTTTTGATCTGGAAAAATAGAAAAATTAGGCCAAACAACAGATTCACCCTTAAATATTCTATCGATTTTAAGCTTAAATAAATACTCACCAGTCGTCATGGTGTCTTCTCTGCAGGAGCTACTTCATATGCCACAACGAGACAAAGGACAAAGCATCTATCTGTCAACTCCCCTCCCATCAGACTGACCTTCCTCTTTCTTAAGCAACCTCGTATTTTCAATTTGCTCAACTATTCTAACTGGGAGGTGTCAACTTCTCTGGCAATATAGAATATACTATTTATTTAACAAATATAGGCTTATTTCATTTTATTCTGCATGAGCAAAGGAAACTTTATATAAAAATCTATTAGATAAAAGGAGTAAAAATGACAAATAAAATTAATTGATTAAAATGACACAAAAAAAAATACAAGGATCAGTAGAAATCACAAAAGTTATAATAAAAGAAATTTGAAATTCCTGCATTGGGTGAAAAGCAAAAGCAAAGAAGTGGCAGATTTAAAGCTTTCATGAAAAAAGAGTGAAGTTATATAAGAAAAGATCTCTGTTTAGTCGGTTTAGTACACCGGAGTGTTTCCAGGGTGACGGTGAATCATCTATCAAACTGTGTGCAAAACTGAAAGGGAAACCCTGATAAAGGCTTTAATTTTCAGTCGGATGGAGAAAACATGAAGATAAGCAGCCTATCAGAAGCCTATTCCATCAAAACGGATCAAATGCAGCAGTTTGAAACAGCTTGGGAGGACAGAGCTAAATGAAAGAATACAAAAAAAACAAAAAAACACCGAGATGTTCGGGGGACTTCAGGACCGACCGCTGAGAGGAAGTTCCCAGCTCATGACATGTGTCTTTGTTGACACACGAGTTCATCACATTTCCTGCCACTCATCTCATGGGTTTTTTAAACTTCCAGTGTCACAAGAGAGGCGCTCGGGTTCTTACCATGAGAAACGAGGGAAGGTGATGTTCAGATGTCGGCATACAGTTAGGTCCATAAATATTTGACTGTTTTTTTACCTGTTTCCTGAAACATATTCAAGTATATATTAAACAATAGCATAACGTCCAGAATTCCAGCTTTTATTTAAGGTTTCAGCTTCTTCACTGGAAAAAATCAACATCTAGATAAGTCATTTTTTCTTAAAATAAGTGCATTTCTTCTTAAATTGAGGAGATTAAAGAGACATTTTGCCAATGAAACAAGACATATTTAGATTTAAAATAAGAAAACACAATTGCATCTTCTTATTTCAAGTGCATTTAATCTAATTATCTTATTTTAAGGGTAAAAATACTCATTCCATTGGCATATTATCAAATGTACCTATTCAAATCAAGGGTAAATACACTTAAATTAAGAAATGTTTACTTATTTCTAGATCATTTTTGCAGTGTTGACATTTGCCACCCTGATTTTAGAGGGACTAAGGCCTTGTTCACACTGCAGGGAAATGTGACACCAGTCTGATTTTTCAACTGCAAAAAAAAAAAAAAATCTCAATATGTCATGTTTTTTTATTTTTTATAAGTATTAAGGGGTTAAGTGAAACACTTTGCCAATGGAACAAGACAATTTACATTTAAAACAAGAAAAAAACATTTGCATTTTCTTATTTCAAGTGCATAATATCTAATTATCTTATTTTAAGAGTAAAATTACTATTTCCATTGGTAAACCATCTTATTTACCTGCTCAAATTAAGGGTACATCAATTAATTTAAGACATTCTTACTCATTTTTAGATCGTTTTTGCAGTGTAGGGGATCAAATGAGCAGTTTAGACACCCTGATATGACCCCCATCTGACTTTTTAACATCACATTTGAGCCACGTTCATATGTGGTTCTGAATCCGGCTCTTATCTGATCTTTTGAATGTGTGAACGACCAATCCGGATTAGATGTGGCTTTGACGTCACTTTCCATCAGATTTGTCTCAAATTCTTTGCCTCTTAATTGGAAATGGCAGCAGTTAGCAAATCAGAGGTTGGGATTGTAACACTGCAAAAAAACAGTCAAATTTTCTTGAAAAGTGCATTTTCCGTTCTTCTAAGCAGTTAGAGAAGATGATCAACCAATGGAATAAATAATTCGGCCCTTAAAGTAAGATGATTATATATTATGGGCTTGAAATAAGATAATGGGGTTGATTTGTTTTGTTTATTTTGAGCGTAAATCCTCTTAATTCATTGAAAAATGTTATTAGCTACCTGCTCAAATCAAGGAAAAATACACTTATTTCATGTAAAATTAATTTTTTGCAGTGTTGCACAGTGGAGAAACATCAGGACTGTTGATATCATTAATAAACAGTTAAAACTTTATTCAGGCCTAATTGAAAGGCCTATAGAAACCACCAGGACACAGAAAAATAGTTTGCATTGCATTGTATACGACCCTTCAAACAGAGGACTTTAAAATGTTGAGCAGGTGATAGGCTGCACCTAAAACACATTTTTTTCACATATTTACTGCAGACAGACAGACAGACAGACAGACAGACAGACAGATCCCAAACAGAAACGAAAAGCAACCCAGGAGTTAATTAAGGCAAAGAAGTGGAATATTCTTAAATGGCTGAGTCAGTCACCTGATCTCACACCAACTAAACGTTGATTTCACTTGTTTAACTTCAGATAAAAAGGCTCGAAAACAAAAAGTGAGTTAAAACCGCTGCAGTAAAGTCTTTAAGAAGGATTAAACGCAGCATCTGGTGACGACCATTAGCTCAAGAATTCAAGCACTCGTTGCAAACAAAGGGTTTTTTAAATAAAATTAAACATTTTATTTACAATTATCTAATTTTTCCAATAACTTTTGGGCCCCTGAAATGAAGGGATTCTTCTAATCATGTTTTCAGAGAACAGTGGACGTCTAACCGCCGTGTGAAAGTCATTAATTGTTGTGATCCTGTTCAGTAGAAAATTAAAACTCAAAACTATATATTTTTTTATCCAAACCTCTTTTATCCAATTCACAACAAGGAAAACCAGTTGATTGCTTCGACTTATTGACTCGATAGTAAAAAGATATCTAGGATTATTCTTATTGTCCTTATTAATTTATTTATTATGGGCCTCTTGCTTTACGAAGGGTCCTCTTATACAACAGTAAACTATTTTTCCAGACTAGGTAGGATACCCATAGGCATGCAGAGCACCATTTTCTCTCCAGTTTCTTAGCATTTTGCTTCAGTGTGCCGCTCTGCATTAAACAAGGGAACCAACTTTCTATTTTGAAAGTTTTTCTTTTTTAAAGGGGCGGCCTCTTCTAAGGCAGTACGAAAGGAACTAGCAACCCCATCAACAAAATCCTTAACCTGTTAAGGGGAACAAGCCATCTTCTCTTAAAAAAAAAAAAAAAACAACCACCTGTAAGTTTATACTGTTTCCAGTTTTGGGGCTTAGTTTTTCATTGCTTTCACAGTAGAGCTCATTTTTTATCTTGTTTCAAGTATGATTGTTTGGGTCGATCTGGGTTATTGGGGGAGTGGTGGCCTAGTGGTTAGGGCATTGCACTTAGATCCCAGAGGTTCTGAGTTTAAGCCCCCGTCTGGGTCCCTGTAGCCTCGTGAGACCATCCTGATCTCGCGAGCTTTCATGGTTTCACTCGCAGATCAGTCTGGAGACTCTCCGTTAAAGAAAATTTGGAGCCGTTCACCAAACGAACGTCCAATCAGCGTTGGCTTTGAGGCGGGTTGAGGTGTGACGCAACGAGAAGCGCGACAGTTCAGTCTAAAGAACATGGCGGCTTCAGCCGATGAAACTAGCGTTAGCGTGGCTATCGAGCAAATTTTATCGGAAGAGTATTTCTTCACTGAAAGAAGAGCAAAACACTGCTCTGGAGGCTTTTCTCAGAGGAAAAGATGTTTTTGCTCTTCTCCCGACTGGTTTCGGCAAGAGTAGCCTGGCTTGTGGTTGTGTTTTCGTCGTCGCTCTGTTAGTACGTCATATGCTTTGTTGATCTGATTGGTTTATTTGGCCCGTCTATCACCAACATAGGCCAATCAGCTAACCAGTATTTTCGCCCCTTCCCAAAATCAGAGATGGCAAAAGTACTCACTTTCCGTACTTGAGTAAAAGTACAGATACTTGTGTTAAAAAATACTCTGGTAAAAGTGGAAGTACTGATTAAACTTCTTTACTCAAGTAAAAGTAACAAAGTACAGGCTTGTAAATTTACTTAAAGTATAAAAGTAAAAGCAGAAACCACTTTTTTTCATGCCGTTGCCTACATTTTAAATAAATGTCTGCCAATAGGACTAGATCTCCGTTGTGTTCATTTTACAATCATCTCGTCGTAACATGCTACTATGCTAACGCCACCGCCACCAAGCTGCAATGATTTGCCGCGAATGAATACCGCCGAATCTGTCGATTCATCATCAACGTAGATTCCCATCCAATTAGATTGGATTTGGTATTGATGACGTGAAAAATAATAACAGTAACTCCATTGAAATGATTCAAAACTAAAGTAACGAGACAATTTTTTAAAAACTAAGGAGTAGAAAGTACAGATATTTGTGTAAAAATGTAAGGAGTAGAAGTAAAAAGTCGCCATAAAAGTAAGTAGTAGTGTAAAAATATCAGAAAAATCTACTTGAGTATTTATAAGTAAGTATTTGTACTTCGTTACTTCCCATATCTGCTCAAAATTACTTCAACGGAAGGTTTCCAGATGGATATGCGGAGCAAATCCATCTGGTGGAGTCAGGTTAGGGTCCCTGAGCAAAGACCCTAAACCCCACATTGCTGCCCCTGCGCCGCACAATGGCAGCCCCCTGATCCCCAAGTGGATGGGTTAAATGCAGGGTTCATTTCATCGCTCTGTACTTGTGACAGTGTAATGACAATTAAAAAAGCTGGGGGAAAAAGGTTTTAAAAAATAAAGGGAAGTTAATGCAGGATAAACTTGTTTACATTTCTGAACTCTTAAGGTTCTTTAGTACTTCTACCACTGCAGTTTAAGCTCTGCTTTTGACTAAATTTGTTGAAAATTCACATTCATTAAATAGATTCCAGGCTGGTCTCTGATCAGCTGTTGTTTATATTAAAGTGTGTGCATTAAAACATAAAGAGGGGGAACAGTGTTAAACGTTTAGGTACTTGGTGCAACAAAAGATGAGGAAACTTGAGGTTTTGGCTTAAGCAATGTGTTGCTTCAGATATGGAGCAGTTCTTGCAGACATCTCCAGAGAAAACACACTGTGCACTTCTTCACTTTGAGCTCAAACATCTAAACAGGAAGAAAAATAAACATGTTCTTGACACTAGATGGTGCTGTAGAATGCATACAGTTTTATTTTTGCTAATCCAGTTCAGTTGTGGCACATTGATGATGCTTCTGGTAGAAGCCAGAAATGCACAATGTTTATCTGTTGAGCCGTTTTATTTCTCCTCAGGAAAAAATAATCACTTGAAAATTAGATTTTACACCTAATATTAATCTAAAAAGATGGGGGGAAAAAGAAAAACATGTGCGCCATTACAGTCAGTAAACCAAAAAAATGTCAGAATTTTATGCCAGTAGTTTATGGAAAAAAGAACCCCAATATGGCAGCATAATTGCTTATTTCTTGAACCGTTGTGTCTGTATGTGGTCCTAAGTGATAAACTTACAATTCATAGCAAACGGAAAAAAAAAAAAAAAAAAAAAACGTGAAACATGGTCAGAAGTCCACATGACTGATTAAAATCTCACAGCGAACCTGTTCTCAGAGGGACTCGTTTCACCATCCAGTCCTAGAACTGATTCTCACCCACTTAAGGCATCTTCCACTTCAAAACAATAAAAAAAGAAAGCCTTTTCCTGATTTTAAATGACAGTCAAGCTTCGACATAAATTAAGAGGAGAAAGTGCATCAAGTGTTCAAGTAGGATGTGTTCTCTGAAAGAATAAGAAGGGAGAGATAACACTGGCACAGAGCTGGTCGTTTACAGGATCAAACACCATCATCAGGTCTCCATCCGTAAAGTTCTGACGGTGTAGATCTGGATGTGGTGCTTATAGAGCGCACTACTCACTAAGACTAAACGATGCGTCTGACTATCTTTGACTGTATAAAACGGTTCCTTATAGTGAAGGCCTTCACAGGCAGTGGTGAAGGAGGAGGAAATGAGGACAACCATGTTTAGTTTTTTGTTTTGTTTCTTTTCCCCTTCCATTTCAGCTCCGGTTTCATCTTTTGGCACGTCGTGGATCCCTGCCGTTGCTAATGGTGACTGAGGACTTTGTGGTCGTTGGAGGTCCAGCAGCGTTGATGGGCGGCGCACCGTTTCCAGTGGACCGGCCGTTTGGACGCCCCACACCGCCAAATGTCGGGTCACGGAGCGCGCCTGGTGTTGGGTTATTGGCAAACGGCGGCATGGCACCATTACCTGTGGGTGAAGCAACACAAATGCAGTAATTGTAAAAACAACAGAGCCTCATGTTAGATGTTCAGCATTATGCTTTCCATAAACAGGAATTAAGGGGGGAAAAAATGTTCCTGGTATCTTGCACACAAAAAAAAAAAGTGACTGACCTGGTGGAGCAGGTGTACCTGAATTCTGATTGGGTGGAGAGTTTCCTCTCTGGTTCTGGTCAGGCTTACCCTGTTTGGAGGACATATTAGAAGCAAAGTCAGTCTTATAATCCATTAAATATACACTCCAACATATTACCGAGGCTCCGTTTACAACACAGAATATGTCCTAATTAAAACGGCCCCTTTATCTCAGCGATACTTGTCAAAAAAAATATGTACACTGCCTAAAGCTCCACGTATATAAGGTGGAAACTAAATTATACAGATTAGTTTTATTTGTATTTTTATAGCAGGTATTTACATAAAACAGACTACAACTAACAAGATGGCTGCAGAAAGAAAAATCATGCAGCTCTTCATTAGCCTGACTCAACAGGTTTCAATAGGCGCATTGCTACTCACAGACTTGTTCTGCTGGTTGGCTTGGGCTAGAAGCTCTGGGTTTGGTTCACTGAAGTTGGGCACCTCTGAGTACACCATGCAAAACCTGGGAGAGAAAGAAAAAAAAAAAAGCAGCCATTTCTCACCTATTTTTCTCATGCATGCAAATCTACCAAAACCTTTCTGTTCAAGAAAGTTTAAGTAATTTTCCAAACTAAATATCAAAAGTGTTTAGTAGAGATGTCCCGATCCAGGTTTTTGCACTTCCGATCCGATACCGATATTGTTTTTGGACTTCCGATCCGATACCGATACTGGCTGATACCAGCCTATCCGAGCATGTATTTAAGTTTAAGTTAAAGTATTTAGCCTTAGTTGTAAGACTCATGTTGAAAAGGGTTTTAGTACTCTTGATAACATCTAGCCAGCTAAATTAGGTGAGATTGAATAAAACACAATGCTCGGTAACAACAAACTTACCTGTTTATTAAGAGATAAACACAAACTGGACAAAATAATGAATAGCAATCTGAAATTGCACAGTGAACAGTAAAACCGTAAACAGTTAAAGGTGCAAGTATTACTGTAAGTTTTAATAAAAATGCAAAACAGGGAAACACTGACGCAAAATAGTGGAATGGATCGTTTCAATCGGCGAAACTGGAAAATACGGACCGGATTTTTTTTCAAAAACTGGATCGGCAGTCTGGATCGGCATTTTACATGCTTTGCCGATACGCATTTTTTTGCCAATATCGGCGTCCCGACCCGATACATGGATCGGATCGGGACAAGCCTAGTGTTTAGGGTATACTTTATTTTACTCAATTTTTATTTATTTACTTCCATTTTCTTGTAAAATCATAAACAGTAGCATAATAAACCAGACTAAATGTGAGATTAAATGTGTAATTTAGTCTGGTCTGATGAATGAGACATAAGAAACCGTTGTCGCTCAAACTATGTCTGTTCTGATTGGCCAACGCTCTGACCAATGAGCACAACTGACTGACGTAGTAAGAGCGACAAAAAGCTGGTGGGGGAGTGTAAACAAACAGCCTGTCGGTAAAATGGCGAATATGTCCTTCTCAAAAATTAGTGAACGTAGAACCTCTTCCTGCTCACATTTCAACGGAAACCCCAAGTTTAATCCTTCCAAAGCTGAGTTAAACTAGAACTGTTCAATCATGCCATCAAGCCATCTTTCTGGTTGTGTTTTCTCCAGCATCGTGCAGCTCTGCGTTGTGATTGGCTCGCCAGTTCTAGGGCCTGGGGCATTGATCGAGGCTATCCCACTCGCAGGGAAAAGTTATTTTGGCCGCTGGTGGGTGGGGCTAGTTTACTAGGCTTAGATAACTGATCTTTAAATTCCAGACCAGCCTATTTCGATTTTGACCGATATTTTCTTATACACTTGTAATAAGATGAAAAAAAAAAAAAAACCTGATAAATATGAACTTATTTCTAATAAGCACGATAATACTTTGCATTGACAGTTTGACTTTTAGACATTTGCAGAGGTAATAAGACCCAAAATTAAGCAAATCAGAGCCGGTGTTCTGTCAGATTAGCTTACCCTGTCAGACCAGCATACCCATAGTTAATGCCCGTTTATCCCTTTAATTTTGCACAAAAAATCAACTTTAAAATACTGCAACGGGCTTATATCCCTTTAGTCTTGTTAAAAAATTAAAAAATGTAATTACTTATTTTTCTGTGGCATGTGGCAATCTGACCTTTAATTATTTTTTTTCTACGTGACTAAAGAAGTACTCATCCATTGAGGTAGTTTTAAGTCTATTTTTTTTTATAAAACTAAAGGGATAAACGCAAATCTGACGTCTTGTGTATTGATTATGAATGTGTTGGTCTGACGGGTTATGCTCATCTGACAGATCACCAGGCGTACAAATAAGTAGAAATTAAGTAAAAAATTAAAAAGTGAAAGTAAAACAGTTAAAGCTATGTAAAAAAAAAAAAATGTCTGGTACCCCTGAGTGAATTGCCACAAGGAGGTAAATTTGATAAGTTACTTGAAAAGCAGCAACTCTTCAATGAATCAAGTGTCCTTGCTGCAAACCAAAGATTATAATCGTGTTATGTTAATTCTTTTAAATTTAATTTAAAAATGAAGAAAAAAAATCTACAAGAAATACAGAAATACTTCTAAAGAACTTAGATCTTTCACTTGCATAAATACATTTTTTTTCTAAAGATTATTTCAGTTATTTTTAAGTCAATTTAATTCAAACCTATGAAAGGGGATATGAATTTAAACTAATACATGTCTAGTTTTAAACAACATTATACAAACCCATACTTCTGGGAACTAACTCCATTTCAATACAGTTTATTAATATAGCGCCAATTCACAACACGTCATCTGAATTAACCAAAACAAAAAGTGAAACTTGGGCGGAGAAATGGTGTGGATCCTCCAAGATTAAAAGTAATGTTGACCATAACTAATTCACACTCACTCTCCAATCTTCTGAAGATCTCCCCCTCTCCCAGTGTATAAGGTCAGGCAGCCTTTCCATATTGATGCATAACTGTATAAAAAAAGGGAATTAATCATATGGAAATCATTTATATGGAAGAGGATTAGAACCACTGAAAAAATTTGAATTACATTTTATTTCAGCTTAATATGGGAAGAATTCATAGACTAAAGAGTCCGAATGCAGAGATCAGAGTCCGAATGCAGAGATCAAGAGTCCGAATGCAGAGATCAAGAGTCCGAATGCAGAGATCAAGAGTCCGAATGCAGAGATCAAGAGTCCGAATGCAGAGATCAAGAGTCCGAATGCAGAGATCAAGAGTCCGAATGCAGAGATCAAGAGTCCGAATGCAGAGATCAAGAGTCCGAATGCAGAGATCAAGAGTCCGAATGCAGAGATCAAGAGTCCGAATGCAGAGATCAAGAGTCCGAATGCAGAGATCAAGAGTCCGAATGCAGAGATCAAGAGTCCGAATGCAGAGATCAAGAGTCCGAATGCAGAGATCAAGAGTCCGAATGCAGAGATCAAGAGTCCGAATGCAGAGATCAAGAGTCCGAATGCAGAGATAAAAAAAAAGAAAAAAGAAAGTCCGAATTCAGAGAGAGAAAAAAAGTCTGAATTCCGAGATTAGAGTCCGAATTCAGAGATTTAAAAAAACAGAAAGTCCGAATCCAGAGATACTAAAAGTCCGAAATCAGAGATAATTAAAAGTCCGAATTCAGAAATAATAAAAACGTCCGAATTCAGAAATAATAAAAAAGTCAGAATTCAGAAATAATAAAAAAGTCAGAATTCAGAAATAATAAAAAAGTCAGAATTCAGAAATAATAAAAAAGTCCGAATTCAGAGATTTAAAAAAATGACGTCCAAATTCAGAGATTAGTCAGAATTCAGAGATTAAAAAGTCAGAATTTTGACTTTCTCCACCATATTAAACTGAAATTAAATTTAAAAATCAGTTAAGATTTTTATTTTTTTTTTTTAACCAATGGCCCTGATCCTCTTCCGTATATTTAAGAGCAAACAAAGATGTAAATATGTTGAAGAACAGTCCTACCCTCTGGTGAGCTTGATGATGTCTCCAGGCTGGATGAGGCTTCCCAGTTCGTCCCACACTGAGATGGCTATGCTCCCGCTCTTGTCTGCCACTTTACAGGACCTCACCTCATGACCGTCTTTGGTTTTAGTTACTCGTCCTAAGAAAAGAAAAAAAAATCAAGACAACCAAAGTGAGAAGTGTGGCACAAAACTAGGCTCCCGCAACAGCAACAGAGTTTAGCTCGGACAGAGCCCCGCTGCCGCCGGTCCCTTTAAGAGACACAAACACGAGTGGCTGTGGAGCAGAGTGGTTGCTTCAGCCTCACAACTCACCGATTTCCAACACGATGAACACTATATTCAGGTTTTTAGAGCCGGGTTTGACGTCCTTGATGAGGAACAAGGCCTCGTTAGAAGGTGCTGCCATGGTTGGCTAACTCACTCTATTTATCAGCGGTTACTGTTAGCTTTAGCCTCGGTGGTGCTAGTTAGCCTACTTAGCTGGAGCGCTCTTCCAAAACTCCCTTAAAAATGTCTAACAGTTCAAACTCTTGTCAGTTATACGCCTTCATCAAGTTTATGATATTAATGAACGCATTAAGAACATTATGTGGTGACCGTAATTTTAAAAAGTACAAAAAATGCCAACGCAATGCCCGTTAGCTCGCAGTTAGCAACCTCCTGTTAGCTTCAGGATGCATTTTAAAAACTGTTTTTCTTCGGGCCGACTATCGTCACAATAGCGACTTCATTTCCCACATAACACCAGCGAACTGTCAAAACATGAACCAAACAAGATATTGAGATTATGAGTCCGAATTGTTTAGAGTAGTCTCCGCAGTCAAAAAAAAAACACGCTGGATTCCCTAATCTGAAGTCATTTCAGAAATATTAACAACAATCTGCTGTCAGACTGAAAAATGATCCTCATCCTAAAGCGGTCATAAAGCTGCTCTGATGTTTGACGCACGTTTCCTTTGTGTGTCTCAGAATATATAAAGAGCTGTTTTTTGTTGGCCGTAGGCAGACCAGATGCTTTGTTATAACTAACCGAGTCCAGGCCAGGTTCAAATTATTAAGATTAGGATTAAGGTGTTCTGAGTCTTAACCTCTCCTGGGCCAAACTAACAAAGCTAAATATAAAAAGCCTGTGCAAGTAGCTCTCTGCACGGGCTCTTCTCAAGCCTCTACTGCCCCCAAAAGCTACTTTTGGGTGTCTGCCGGTGTTATTTATACAGCCAGGACTGTACCATTACAGATTTAAGGGAAGGGGGAAAATTTCAATCACACGTCGCCCAGTAAACGTGACGCCTGGGAGTTTGAACGTTGGCTTGGCCTTCATATTTCGAGTGACATATGTTTAAAACGTTTCATGGAAAGAAATACAAACCTGAAACAATCATTTCACAACAGGTATGTAAAATACAACATAATAAATGTTTACACCCGGTGGTATTACACATAGAGCCATTTTTCGTCGCGAGCAGTGGAAGTGCAAGAAGTGGATTTGTAATTAATCCATCCAGCAAGTTACTGCTTCTATAGTTGATTTTATCGTATTATATATGTTGCGTGAAAGTCATATTTCTCTGTATTCTGAACTTCCAGCTTCAGAGCAGACATCGATGGCCAAGTAGATATTGCCACTCACAACATGGTTGATAGCTCTCTTGTGAATTAGTTGGTTTGCTCTGTGGGAGTCAACGCGAGAAAAGGATGCCCATGCGAGATCTCAACATTTGTCATCTTAAAACGCGTTGTAATAACGTTGTAATAATTTATGTAATTCACCAACTTCGCGCCCAGTCAGTGATGCTATCATTCTTTTCAGTTTCTGTAACATTAGAGGTTTAGCTTTGATCACTTAGTGTTTTTTTCCATTGAAAATGTTGCTAGTTATATCATTTTAGTCTTGAATCCATGGCCAAAAGAAAACTAGGATATTGATTCATATTGTTATGTAGTACAGATTTAAAAGGATGGTTAAGGTGCGACCGGGAAAAAATACGTCACGAACAGGATTCGAACCTGTGCGGGGAAACCCCATTGGATTTCGAGTCCAACGCCTTAACCTCTCGGCCACCGTGACAGCAAACACTCTACTTCCACAGTCAAACTTTATTGTAGAGCGGGTGCCCATATGGTTGTTTTGTTTTTCAGATAAAATCACGCATATAAAAGATCAAATCCATGGTCCTGTTTCTGCCAGATCACTTGTTTCTATTTCTCGAGCAAATGTTTGCCATATCTAACGTAACAAACAGGCCAGGGATGTATTTCGTAATGTTGAACACTAGAGGGAGACATACACCACCGCGTCACATTTAGACTGAGTGGATGTCTTTCACCTATTAGTGTCATTCACATGTTTTCAAGAAAAAAAAAAATTATAATATCTTTTTTCAAGTGCATACAATCTAATTATCCTATTTTAAGGGTAAAATAATACTGCCATTGATAGATCATCTCATTTGACTACTTAATTTAAGGGTGAATACGCTTATATGAAGCAACATTTTTACTTATTTTGTCATATTTTTTGCAGCAGAGTGTCTTTAGTCAAAGACTTTTCCAGATCAACCTGCTGCTAAAGATCCTCCCTGCCTACAGCTGTCCAAATCATCCACAACTTATTGAAAAAGGCTGAAGAGTTGCTTCAATATTTAGTTTCTCTTTTTAATTTAAATCAGTTGAATGCCAAAACGCACATTTCTAGAATCTAGATATCTTTGTCAATTCCAGTAAAGTTATTATAGAATTCAATAGTGATTTTTGGCAAGAAAATTTGAATGGGTCTTTTTTTTAAGGGGCAGAACTCCTCCAGTGGTCAATGATCACTGAGAACAGGCACCTGTTGGTGTTCTTCTAATGAGAAACTACATAGCCGTGAATGATTACTCCTCCCCTAGTATACAGACTGTATTTCAGATCATAATCACTGGCTTTATTAGTATCAAACATAACCTGATAGATGCTGGGAACAGAGCAAAGATCCATTTTGATCTTATCTTCTTTCCCCCTCCAGACAGCCCGGTCTATGGATCCTGGTCAATGAGCTGCAATGATGAGCAGCAAAGCTCATCAGATAGATGGATGGACGTGGTGTTATCGTTTGCAGACAGATCTGGAAGAATGAGCCTTAAGATGGAGCAGAACACCAATTATAGACTCCAAGAAGTGGAGACTTCCCACTATATCTCACCCTGCTCATTCCAGCTGATATGAAGAAGCTACCGAATCTATCCTTATTTTAAGTTCTAAGATGGTTCATTCCGATTTGGTTCAGCAGGTCCTATTGATGGCTTTAATGATTGCTGTTCAGAACCTCTTCAAACTGTCCAAGACAGATCTCAGCTCAGTTTGGCAGGAAGTCTTTGGTCTAAATGCAACAAAACAATTGGACAAGGCATACCTAATAAAGTGGCCAATGATGGTAAACAATTCAAATGCTTAGAAGCAAGTAACTAATACAATTGAACCGTGATTATTATTTTTTTTATTAAGTAATATTACTTTAAAGTATTGCCGGTAAAAAAACAAATCTTTAGCCACTTTCCTGAATAAAAAGACAGAGAAACTATTCAAGTTTCACAAAATCAGTTTTCTTTTTTGTTCGTTGTTTTAATGTTACTTTAACTGACTGAGACTTTCATTACATGGAGGTCAAGGTAATATACAATAAAAGATAATTATGTAGCTGGAAGTGATATACTGTGTTTTATCGTGTATATATATATATATATATATATATATATATATATACATACATGTATATATATACATATATACACATACGTATATATATACATATATACACATACATATATATATACATATATACACATACATATATATATATACACATATATATACATACATATATATATATACACATATATATATATACACATATATATACATACACATATATATACATACATATATATATATACACATATACATATATATATACATATATATATACATACATATATATATATACACATATATATACATACATATATATATACATACATATATATACACATATATATATATACATACATATATATACATACATACACTATATTGCCAAAAGTATTTGCTCACCTGCCTTGACTCACATATGAGCTTAAGTGACATCCCGTTCCTAATCCATAGGGTTCAATATGACGTCGGTCCACCCTTTGCAGCTAGAACAGCTTCAACTCTTCTGGGAAGGCTGTCCACAAGGTTTAGGAGTGTGTTTATGGGAATTTTTGACCATTCTTCCAGAAGCGCATTTGTGAGGTCGCACACTGATGTTGGACGAGAAGGCCTGGCTCTCAGTCTCCGCTCTAATTCATCCCAAAGGTGTTCTATCGGGTTGAGGTCAGGACTCTGTGCAGGCCAGTCAAGTTCATCCACACCAGACTCTGTCATCCATGTCTTTATGGACCTTGCTTTGTGCACTGGTGCACAGTCATGTTGGAAGAGGAAGGGGCCAGCTCCAAACTGTTCCCACAAAGTTGGGAGCATGGAATTGTCCAAAATGTCTTGGTATGCTGAAGCATTCAGAGTTCCTTTCACTGGAACTAAGGGGCCAAGCCCAGCTCCTGAAAAACAACCTCACACCATAATCCCCCCTCCACCAAACTTTACACTTGGCACAATGCAGTCAGACAAGTACCGTTCTCCTGGCAACCGCCAAACCCAGACCCGTCCATCAGATTGCCAGATGGAGAAGCGCGATTCGTCACTCCAGAGAACGCGTCTCCACTGCTCTAGAGTCCAGTGGCGGCGTGCTTTACACCACCGCATCCGACGCTTTGCATTGCACTTGGTGATGTATGGCTTGGATGCAGCTGCTCGACCATGGAAACCCATTCCATGAAGCTCTCTGCGCACTGTTTTTGAGCTAATCTGAAGGCCACATGAAGTTTGGAGGTCTGTAGTGATTGACTCTGCAGAAAGTTGGCGACCTCTTCGCACTATGCGCGTCAGCATCCGCTGACCCCGCTCCGTCAGTTTACGTGGCCTACCACTTCGTGGCTGAGTTGCTGTCGTTCCCAAACACTTCCATTTTCTTATAATACAGCTGACAGTTGACTGTGGAATATTTAGGAGCGAGGAAATTTCACGACTGGATTTGTTGCACAGGTGGCATCCTATCACAGTTCCACGCTGGAATTCACTGAGCTCCTGAGAGCGACCCATTCTTTCACAAATGTTTGTAAAAACAGTCTGCATGCCTAGGTGCTTGAATTTATACACCTGTGGCCATGGAAGTGATTGGAACACCTGATTCCAATAATTTGGATGGGTGAGCAAATACTTTTGGCAATATAGTGTATATATACATACATATATATACATACATATATACATACATATATACATACATATATACATACATATATACATACATATATATACATACATATATATACATACATATATATACATACATATATACATACATATATATACATACATATATATACATATATACATACATATATACATATATATATATATACATACATATATATATACACACATATATATATACACACATATATATATACATACATATATATACATATATATATACACACATATATATATATATACATATATACATACATATATATACACACATATATATATATACATACATATATACATATACATACATATATACATACATATATATATACATATATATATACATACATATATATATATACATACATATATATATATACATACATATATATATATATATATATATACGTATAATTCTGAAATTTGCAATGTAATACAATGACAGATCCCCTTTTATCAAGCATGTCTTTGTTCTACTATTCTAAAAAGACTTATAATTGTACAACTATGAGTTATGTTTTAACTGCTGCAGTTTAGACTGTGTTATAGTCACACTATTTTCAATTATTTTGATGATGCATCACACATGTAATTTAGGCTAAAAGTTTCTTAGTTATTTGCTTTTCTATTTGGGTATGCAAAAAGGCGAGGATTACTTAAATTAGGAGGAGGTTTCATTTACAAGATGAAAAGAGTATACATTTATATGCAACTTCTGGTGTTTCAATGAATATGATGGAAATAAGCATATAACATGCAGTAACTACACAAAATATTCGGTGTAGCGAAAACGCATCAATAGTTATAATGTATAGGAATAGGTAAAGTACATTGAACTGTTTACTGTACTTTTAACTCCACCTCAGGACACAGCAGACTCAGCAGGTGAAAAATTGGGTAGGTGTCCAAGACACCTTGATTCAGGAAGTCTAGTTGCTTTCCTATTAAAGTCCACGGTTACCATGATCAGATGGCTGAATTTAGACATAAACAAATAAAACATCAGTGCAAGAAGAAAAATGTGTCTCTCAATGTTGCATATTTGTTTGAAACAAGCTTGTTTTCATTAAGAGAAGTTACTGAAAATAGATGGAGCAGCCAGAAATTTAAACCAAGAAAGAAAATTTGATCATATTTTTACTCAGGTAAAAGTTACAAGTGCAATGCTGTAAAACTACTTCTTAAATTACAATTTCAAAGTCATTCACTTAGATTTAACTGAGTAAAAGTAACTAGTTACTATCCTCCTCTGCTTATTTGTATTTATCATTTTCTTTTAGTCTTAACAAAAAGGTAACTTGCTCACAAGGTACATGAGCAAGTTACTTTTCTTATAAGCTATAATTTGATTAAATTCAGGTCACCAGATCATCCAGTCAAATTGATTCAAAGTTTTCTATCGAAGGAAAACCAGTTGATTGCATCTGCTAATTGACTTAAAGGCAATCCCTCACACTAAGCATGCTTGTAGCGACAGTGGAGAGAAAAAACTCCCGTTTAACAGGAAGAATCCTCCGGAAGAACCAGGCTCAGTGTGAGCGGCCATCTGTTGAGGACGACTGGGGTTCAAGGAGACAGAAGCAGTACAAAAGGTAACTGCAAAAGGCAGGAAACACACAGCCAGGCAGACGAGCCTGATTATACCGTATAATCAGATAAACTATAACTTTAGGTTACGGTTTATCTAATTATATAATTCAAATACTTAGTTACTCAGTAATGAAGTTATGTTGCTTTTACTTGAGTTTAAGTTTTTGGTACTCTCCCCACTTCGGCTCTAAAGCATCCTCCAGCCAGTTAGACCAGTAAATGGAATTCTTTGGACAAAGAGGAGGCCCCATAAACCCATTAGACCAGCGACCCCCAGCCCAGGTCCTCGGGGCCCGGTTCCCTGCAGGTTTTCTACGTTTCCCTGATGACAAACAGCTAAATTAGTTGAACAGTGACATACCAGGAGGCGATGCAACCATTCTAATCGGAGGAGCAGCAGCACTGCATTAGCCAGCACCTGATTGGCGTTGCATATTTTGGTTTTGCATAACAGAAAACGGCTCTGAAGGATGACCCTTACTGTCCCCTGGAGCTTTGTTCCAGACATACCTTACTTCCTGAGTGATTCTCCTCCCCGTGCAAACCAAATTACATCAGCATTACACCACACCTGTTTGCCTTTAATAGGAGGGAAACATTCAGGATATATTTTGCAGAAGCAACTCTTTATCATAGCCATACTCAAAACGCTTATCTAATGCTAATTCCATATTGTGAACAGGTGTAAAGTGCTGCGTAGAGCGGAGTTGAGCAACAGGACCACTCCCTGGACTGTGACTCATCACCACACCTGTGACTGCGGATCCGTGGATTAGCACCATGACCTGCAAACATTTTCTGTTTCACTGAATGAAGCTCCTTAAATCAAACCTGCAAGCTCTGACATTTTCTGACACACACACAAAAAAACAGAACTAGAATATCAGTGTTAAAAAATCTTTATTAATGTATGCAATACTAAAGTTTGCTAAGAAGCGGCATATTTACAGGAAGGTTCACTGGAGTGGCAGAGAGGCTTCTGTGACCAAAATGTTCTTTGGTTTAAGTGGCTAACAGATAAACAAGCATCCTGATGTAACCTGCAGTAATACCCTCTAACAGACCTGATTTCACTTTCAGGAAGAAAAAAAAAATGCTCACATGATTATGACAGAAAAGTATTATTTCAAAACATATAAAAGCAAAACCTTAAGTCCTATCAGCAAATATAGAAACAGGATTTTAAAGCAGGAGGAAAAACATGTTTCTGGAAGAAAACTGAAGAAAGTTGCACAGCAGGTTTAATAAACAAGTGAATTGTTTAAAAGAATAAACATAATTATTCAGTTTTGTCCTATTAGAGGTCCCATAGGATTGTTTTTTATAACACAAAGAAGCGCACAAAGTGATGATAAAATGGTGACTAGATGCTGTTTCCCAACTTCTTTTATTAGTCGTTATATTTATTTTAATGAATATAAGAGTAGAAACTTTTCATCATCATCATCATAAAGAATAAAAATCCAATAAGTCTTGGGTGACTTGAAAGTTTCACCAAATGCAGCTTTGAAAAAAAAAAACCTACCCCTAAAAAAATTATAAAACAACTGGGCAGAATATACAAGAAATGAAAAAAGTTAGTATATATTAAAATATGTAATATGAAAGTTTTCAATTGTGTTATTTTCAATAACCTTTAATGCATTCTGGTGTAAACAAACATGAATATCTCTGCATTTCACTAGATCTATATATTTTCTTCTCAAATATATGGAAATAAATCTAAAGACTTTAGGTAAACTAGAAAATCTCCCATTTAAATCCTCCCAATAATTTTACACAAATAAAAATGCTCACATCTTATTTATGTTTATATTAATTAAATTTTTTGGTAACAAACTCTAAAATGGACATTAATGTTATATAAAGATCTGTGGGATCAATGCTGATTCAATGCGACTGGTAAATGTGAGTTTTTACTCACATGTGAGTCTTGGGGTTAAAAACTGCAGGACGAAATGAGGACAGAAGATAAATTTAAGTGTTCCGACTTAGAAATGCCCCCAAATATTCTACACCGGTGCCTTCTTGGGATATATTTCATTCTGAATCAGCAGTTGATGTGTTCTTGAGTCATGTAAGAATCGTTTTGTTTGTGTCGAGTCCCACAGACTGTCATAGTTTCAGTGCCTCTCTGCAAAAAATGCAGCATGAAATCACAGAGAGCAATCTGTCCATCCCCCCACAGCGTCCGGCCCACTTGCTCTCCATCTCCAACATGCTTGTGTGTCTCGAAGCTCCTCCAGGAGCAGAACACCTGTGGCTCTCCAAGAACCTCCACCGCTTTCAACCAGGAGGCCAGGAGGATGAAAAATGGGCCGAGCTGGAGTCATCCGTCAAAGCCTGTGTTTTTATCTGCTCCTGTATAACCCATCTACAGTCCAGATCCAAAGGCAGCTGGTATGACTCCATAAATTACCTTTAGGAAAGCTATGGTATTTTCCCCATTTAGATTAGTCTAACATATTTTACTTCTGGAAACTTAACTGATTGGAGAGAAAAATCTTTGTAAAACTTATCAGCATAAACCAAAAGGTGATGAAGGCAAAAAGTTAAATTAAACACAAGTTATTTCCAGAATGCTTAACTATTAATCTTACTGACAAACCCCCTGGAATCCATCCCTACAGGAATGCAGTTGCCTGGACCAGCTTGTGCAAGTGAGAGGCAGCATAGCAGGATGCCTGAGCATGCTTTAGGTCTGAATGCTACTAAAGTCGGGCATACACTATATGATTTTTTTCAAATGTTGCACCCAGCTACATTCATACTGTAAGATAAAAACGCAAGGTTTAAAAGTTCTCAGCTGACAATGTATGTTCTCACACTGAGCGACCCGACACTGTGATGTGATCTACCTGCTCACACTGTATGTCTAAAAAACCATGTCTACCTCAGCTCCGCAGTGAGATGGCGCTACTCGGACTCGTCTATCCAGAAGCCAAACGAGTAGAAGATGAAAAAGACGGAAGTGTCGATGCCTCCTGTTAAACGTGAAGCTCATTAGAGTGAAACGCGCTGCCTTATAAATTTTTGCAATTTTGTGCTGAAAGCCCTAAAAAGAAAAGGTGACGACGTATTTGGACAAAGACATGGCTGAGCAAACGTGGCTACTGAGGTCTGTCAATTTTACAGAAAGAACTCCATTTCAAATCGGACCCCCGCCATGCTTCTGTGTTTTCATCCGAGAGGAAGAAGAAGAAGAGTCCTTGTTTGCCCACTGAGCTATTTGCCCACGGCCACCTTACGACGGCCGACTGAATATCAAACACGTTTGATTTTCTCCTGACCAAACGATTCCTGATCGGGAGGCAATCTAGTCGCGAAGGCTAATCGCCCCTCGTAACCCCCTTTATACTACAGAACGCATGATCAGGCTGAAAGTCGGCCCAATTGAAAAATTCTCGCACGACTGGAGAATTGTAGCCTGGGTGCCATTCCGAACTTAGTCCCGCCCACAAGGTTTGAGGTCAGGAAGTTCGGTCTGGCTCTGCTCCATAGTAGCGCGAGTATGATCGCCCACCCTCTGGCGATCCAATCAAATTGTCAGGGCGGGCTTTATACGATGATGGACAGATGATCAACAGTAACGTAATCAACCACGTGACCAAAGCGCGCTTGGGTGACAACAACAATGGCTGCCGCCGGAGAGTTGAGGGGTGTAGATTCTGCTATTAGGTCTGTTCTAGAAGATATCGACAGCAAATTAATTTTAAAATAGGAACAGAGAAACGCGATCAAGGCTCATCTTTTATTCTAGGCGTGCAACTGCACGCTTTGATTTTTGTTGACAACAACTATGCGTCGCTTAACGTTGCTCTTATTGGTTGTAGGTCTATCCAATTGAGTGCAGAGGCATTTTTTTCCTGGTTCGTTCAAAACACGCCCCATAATCACAGCTCTATGGAGCAGCATCAGACTCATATTCTGACTAGAATTGAGTAGGACTACGTCAGGCTAGGAGAATTGGCCCGAAAAAGGGCAAAAAAATAAATAAATCATGCAGTGTATGCCCGGCTTAACATTATCAGTTTAAATAAAAAAAATAAAAAAAAACATGCTTGGGGCTTTTAACCAATCTATAAACATTTGTTCCAGGTATAAATATATATTTTAACTAATCTAGTCTGTCATAAAACAAATAGGGATTTGGAGCGTCGCACACGAAAGGCCTCATCTCCCAGGTGATCTACGTTAGAAGTGGAGAGAAAGTGATGATGATATGGAGAGATAAAGAGTCAAATATGATTTAAAAAACATGATTTAGGATTACTTTGAAACTAGTATTTCATTCTCTCTATCCTTTTTATTTGAATTAGTTTAAGGATGAAGATTTTATACATTCCATGTATGAGGAAAGTTTCAAACCCCATAATGTTTTTGAGAAACGGGGAACTTTTAGGTCCAAACTAACTGAAGGTTGTGTTTGAATGATTATGCTATGTTTATCTGTTGTGAGAGTCATTTTCTGTTTAAAAGAGTAAAGCAATACTTTAGTGTGTTGTTATATCCCAGAGTAACACCAAACTGTAGAGGTTACCCCCCTAAGAAACCTATATTTTTAGTAGTTTTTCAGTTAAATGATTTCCCATGATATAAGAATACTTTAATAGCAATATTATGCTGTTACTACAACATACAGCTTTTATGATCTGCTAAAGATTTTAACAAAAAAATACAATTCTAAGGATTGCTTGGTTGTAACAGAAGACAGTGTAAAAGCACCTGGACAACCAAATTCTCCTGTTAGGTAGGATCTAATATTCCTTGGTTCAGGTTTTTAAAAAAATTCCAGTAAACAACCTTAACTCTACAAATAAATCTGTCCTTAAAAAGAAAAACAACCCAAAAACTGTCTGGCTGAAAATGCAAGAACTCCCCATACCAGCTCCAGCAACCTGGCAACACAACCACAACCTGCCAAGGCCACATGAGGTTTAGCTTAGTTGATTTTTTTTGTTTTCCCACTTGAAAAAGGAACAAAATGGGCTGTTTTTCAACAGTAACAGAGAAAAAGAGGCAGACAAACACAGTGGGAGGAGATTTCCTCGCCAGCGCCGTGGTGATGTGCGCCCATGTTGGTCATGTGCATCAGTTAAACAGTGAATTATGGTGGATCACTGCTGCTTTGCTACCTGACAACAAGAAAGAGCTGCAGTGGAACATTTTCAGCTGTCAGGAGTCAACGTGTGAAGATATTTACACTTCGCTGGGGACCATCCGGGAGAAGAAAAGGTTTTAGCACTCAGTAAAAGCAAACTTGTTTATAATGGAAGGATAATCTGTGTCTGTTGGGGTTTCTTTAATTTTACGAACTTTAAGATGAAAAGAAAGAGTGTAGCTGATGTTTTAAGACACTTGCTCCACAGCAGTTGTTTCTGCAGTGATCTGGACTTCAGCTGCTACCTCCTTGGGGCTTTTCTGCTTCTCTTCATCCTCTTCTTCCTCATCGTCTTCCGCGCCAACGTCTTCATCGTGCTCTGGGACCGCCAGGCCAGCCAAACCCTCCCCATTGACTTCAGGCTCAACATTTGCTGATTCTCCATTGACTGACACTTCTGCCTTGATGGTCTCCACTGTAGGAGGACTAAGGGTCTCCCGAACCTCTTCCACAACCACCTCCTTGGTGCGCACCTCCCCTGAAGGCATCTTACTATCTAGACCTGCCAAAACCGGAATCTCCACGTGAGCCCCTTCTTCAGGTGATCGCATTTCTTGAGCAGGCCCGTCTCCATCTCTGACCTTCTTCACATTGAAGGTCATTGGGGAAATCTTGAAAGAGGAGGCCCTGGCAGTTGGAGACTTGGGGTGACTAGGGGTGAAGCTCTTCTTGATTTTCTCACGCTTCTCTGGGGGCACAATCTTGGAGGTAATCTGGGTTACCTTTTCTCCAATCTTCTCGCGTGTGAAGGCCTTCTTTATGGTATCAACCTTCTTCAGACTGGAGCGTTTGAACTTGTCAGACCTTCTTTCAAATCTGACAGGAGTAAACTCGTACTCCAGCGTCTCGTCATCATCTTTGTGGGACGCAGCACATGCGAGGTCAGCATCCTCACCTGAAGACAGGCTGACTTTCTGGAGCACGTCGTCTTGGGTACGACTGCCTTCCACTGAATCGCAGATGGACGGGGGTGGCTGGATGGTGGATTCAGCGTCATACTGGCTTGGTACGGGAGTCTTGGGGGAGTGACCGCCACCTTTGACCGCCACACTGGTGGGGATCTCATTGTCTTCCTATTGGGATAGAAAAAAAGAAAGAAAAATGGAAAAACGTTACATATATACACTATATTGCCAAAAGTATTTGCTCACCCATCCAAATTATTGGAATCAGGTGTTCCAATCACTTCCATGGCCACAGGTGTATAAATTCAAGCACCTAGGCATGCAGACTGTTTTTACAAACATTTATGAAAGAATGGGTCGCTCTCAGGAGCTCAGTGAATTCCAGCGTGGAACTGTGATAGGATGCCACCTGTGCAACAAATCCAGTCGTGAAATTTCCTCGCTCCTAAATATTCCACAGTCAACTGTCAGCTGTATTATAAGAAAATGGAAGTGTTTGGGAACGACAGCAACTCAGCCACGAAGTGGTAGGCCACGTAAACTGACGGAGCGGGGTCAGCGGATGCTGACGCGCATAGTGCGAAGAGGTCGCCAACTTTCTGCAGAGTCAATCACTACAGACCTCCAAACTTCATGTAGCTCAAGAACAGTGCGCAGAGAGCTTCATGGAATGGGTTTCCATGGGCGAGCAGCTGCATCCAAGCCATACATCACCAAGTGCAATGCAAAGCGTCGGATGCGGTGGTGTAAAGCACGCCGCCACTGGACTCTAGAGCAGTGGAGACGCGTTCTCTGGAGTGACGAATCGCGCTTCTCCATCTGGCAATCTGATGGACGGGTCTGGGTTTGGCGGTTGCCAGGAGAACGGTACTTGTCTGACTGCATTGTGCCAAGTGTAAAGTTTGGTGGAGGGGGGATTATGGTGTGGGGTTGTTTTTCAGGAGCTGGGCTTGGCCCCTTAGTTCCAGTGAAAGGAACTCTGAATGCTTCAGCATACCAAGACATTTTGGACAATTCCATGCTCCCAACTTTGTGGGAACAGTTTGGAGCTGGCCCCTTCCTCTTCCAACATGACTGTGCACCAGTGCACAAAGCAAGGTCCATAAAGACATGGATGACAGAGTCTGGTGTGGATGAACTTGACTGGCCTGCACAGAGTCCTGACCTCAACCCGATAGAACACCTTTGGGATGAATTAGAGCGGAGACTGAGAGCCAGGCCTTCTCGTCCAACATCAGTGTGCGACCTCACAAATGCGCTTCTGGAAGAATGGTCAAAAATTCCCATAAACACACTCCTAAACCTTGTGGACAGCCTTCCCAGAAGAGTTGAAGCTGTTCTAGCTGCAAAGGGTGGACCGACGTCATATTGAACCCTATGGATTAGGAACGGGATGTCACTTAAGCTCATATGTGAGTCAAGGCAGGTGAGCAAATACTTTTGGCAATATAGTGTATATATTTTTTGTTCATTTATAAAGTCAATGTATAATATAGATGAATAAAGACCTGCATTTTATTTCAGTGTTAAATGCTGTTTAAAGTAACAGTTTATAATTAAAAATGTCTCCGGACCTTTACTGGTCGTTAATTTTCTTGATTCAGACCCTGCTGATTTTTAGTTAGAGATCCCTGCTCTAAAGTCTTAAGAGCTGGTTATCCTCCCGCAGCAGTGTGTCGCAGTGAGCTTGTCACAGATATATTTGATTTATGCCCAATATTGAAGCGTGGTCTGCGCCATGTCATTCCACAACACAAGAGGGACAATCACCAACTAGCTGTGGGTCTAGATACGGCCGAGGCGGTGACGTAGTGCAAACAAAAATGGGGAAGTTTTTGTGACAACAGAGGGACATGAGGCCGAAGAAGAGCAGGGATCCAGGTGGAAAAAGGGTCCAAGCATTCTTGCTCACCTCGCTCTTCTAGTGGTTCCATCTTAACGAGTCGTTTTCCACAATGGCGGTCATACAAACAAAACAAGCCGGTACGGTACCAAACAGGAAATATGCATAATGTTGAGCGGACGTACATTTGACCAATCAGAGGCCTCCTGTCTGCGGCACAGTCTATAGACGTCCTGGTTTCTGAGTATAAATCAGCCTTTACTCTAAACATTGATTACTGAGTGAATTGGTTTGAGCTGGTGTGAAGGATTCCTCGAGCTTAGTGGTTTTTACACTCGATTCCTTGAGAATTCTACATCTATGTCACTAGCATCAGTCAAGTTCTGCAGAGTTCTGCTAATGAGCTCATACTGGAGTCAGGTGTGTGAAAGCAGAGATGTATCTAAGCTGCAGGACACCCGCCGTCGAAGATTTGATTAGAAGAACACTGCAACTACCTATGCCCCCATATTTGTCTGTGTTTCAGTCCAGTTAGTCAGGCAACTGCAACCGACTAGATTCTACAGACCGTGCACATCTAGGGCAGCAAATTTATATTTTTCAAATTGAATTGAAAGTAGTGTTAATTTGTCTTTTTTTTTCTTTTTTTCAGGAATTGTAGCAGTGTGAATTTTGACCTTTTTTAACCTTTGCAGTTACACCAAGAAGCAAATGCCCTGCTCTCTAATTACTAAGCCACATCCTATAGTAGCACATGGTTTATATTTAAACATATTTAGACATAAATCATTGTTTTGGCTTTAATGTTATTTTACAGAAACCATAATGTTATCTCATTTGGCCTCATCTTTCTAGCAACAGTTTTTTATTGATTCAGTTAAACAAAAGCCAACTCCAAAAGTTGGTTTTCCCACATTTCATAACAAAAGCACTATGTTTAACAAAACCTCCACCCTTTGATATAACCTACAACTTAAAGGTACCAGTACTAACAACTTATTAATGTTGTGAAGTTACAACTAACTTGTTTTTTTTTTAATAGACTTAAAGTCCTTATATTCCAAACTGAAAAATATTTTTTTTCACCCAAAAAAATTAAGTTTTTTTTACAGTAAAGTTAGCAGCTGTGTTTGGAATCATTGTCTGGTTGATGATCCATATTGGACGAAACTTCGTGACTTAAACTCGCAAGAATCAAGGATTGCAAGGTTCTCAGGTTCAGGGGCTGCAAGACCAGTCTGGTTTATCAGCTGTTCCATTCACAACTGTCAAGATCTTAGCAATGATGACTGGCTTAATTACTCATTTCATTCACCTGTCCAATTCTGCCCAGTTTCTCATTACATTTCATCTGATCCACTTGCTTCTGCCTCTATTTAAACTGCTTGCATCCAGTCATTAGTGCCAGATTACTCTTATTCTCTCATGCCAGTAGTGAGTGTTTACCTTAGTGTTTCTGATTACCTGATCCTGACCTGTTCTGCCTCTCAACCACTGAGCCTGCCTGCTCCGGTCCGGACGGTTTGCTGAACTGTCTTTGGACTCCTGGACCTCTGAGTCTGCCTGTTCCCATCCTGATCCGTTTGCCTGACCTGGCTTTAGACTCATGGACATCTGAGCCCGCATGTTTACATTCTGATCTGTTTGCCTGACCTGGCATTGGACTCCTGGACCTCTGAGCCTGCATGTTCACATTCTGATCTGTTTGCCTGACCTGGCTTCAGACTTCTGCTGCAGTATCTGGGACACTCTGGGCAGCCCTCTGGCTGGACCCTACCTCGTTTTCTGGGCACGGGCTGTACTCTAACTAGAGTTTCCTGCCTCAAATGCCCTAGCCGCTGTTACTGCAGATCCACAGCCCATTATTGTAATAAACGCCTTTTGAATAATCCCACTGTCTGCCTTTCCTGAATAATGAGTCCCCTTCTCTGAATCATGATAACAGCTACTGGGCCTTATTCAGATTCGGTTTTGCAAACCTTAATCATACCGGCATATCATTTCTAAAGACATTTTGACATGAAACAATTTTTGAACTGCCAAGCTTTTTTAAAATAGAGATTTTGTGTTTGTTTGGACATTTCTCTGAGTATATCACACTCTCACCCTGAGAACAGATCTTTTTATAGTCATCTTAAATCAGTGGGCAGTTGCAACTCTAAGGTTCGTTGTTAGAGCAGAAAACTGACAGGGCATTTACTTTTATGGAGGATATCAGGTAAAACAAACTGGGAATTCCCTTTTCTTTTAAAGCCTGTGGAAGCAGAAAAATGTATATCCTGATTAAATAAATGATGACAGTGTAGAATGGGATTTGTGTTTTAGTAAATTCGAGATAATATTTAAACAATATGCCCAGAACGTCACACAATTTATCTTACGTGTAAATACAAATAGCTAGATATTTAAAAACAGGTAATATTTCTTTGACGTTGTAGAAAAACCTTTAGGATGAGTACAGGGTTTAATATATTTTGGCGTGAAGCCTGGGTTGGTCTGAACAAACCAGTCTCTGCATGCCTTTCACATTTTCTTCCCATGAATTCTGAGGTATTTTGCTGGTTTCTTTTAAAGGATTCCAACACTTCTCTATATCACTCCCCGCTTCCACAAACACACCGATAGCCATAAAGAGAGTGGAACGGAGGGGAATGAGTTTCATATCCAGAGCTTCAATGTGTTTTCACATTTTAGTATCCCTTTTCTACTCACGCTTTGACTTATTGCCCACTCATCTGTGCACAATCAAGCAATCTAGTCAAGCAAGCAGACACAGTACAATGTTCTTCTCCACTAGGGATTTATGAGCTCGCACTCCTCCGTCGGCCTCCTTTTCCGCCCATCCCGAAGAGTGGAGGTGCAGCTCCAGTGGCTGATATACTCCACCGAACACGTGAAATGCTCATAAACAAACCCTCCATGCTGGCAGCTTACAGAATCACCTGAGTTTTTAGTTAATGTGTTAATGTGGCCCTTTGTATTGTAAATTCCACTTTTTTACGATCCACATCACATGTTTCTTTACAGTTTAGTTATCTTGTATCTAGCCATCTTACTTAGACACTTGTTTACTTTTCCTGCTGATTTTCCATTTAAAAATTAACCAAAGTCCAAATACAAACTTTAAAAGTGTTTTTTTTTAAAGTTAGATGAAAAAATGAGGAAGAACTCAGGATTTTTCTACAGTCCTGCTCGCCTCTCTACCAGAGACCATTGTGAGCCCAGATCACCTGTGTTCAGTGAAGTGATGCAACTTGCATGGATGAATAAAAGTGCAGCAAAGTATGACTGAATTTCAAAGAATGCCTGGAAGCTCCTGAGCCAA